TGACAGATCGATTCTGTATCATTTGAACATTTCTTAGAGCTAGTTTTATGCAGTTTTACGACACTCACGTGATTTCTACTGATTCGTGAAAGATTTTGAGTCATTTCATACACTTTGGAACTAAATAATATCGAAATATTTGAAAATCATCCCTTCGAATTCTTACTAAGCATAAAAGAGGTTTCAAGCTATTGATTTCGATGAAACCCGTTTCTCAGTATCATACAAAATGTTCAAAATTCATTGCCACTTTTTATTTCGAATAGAACACCCTATATTTTCCAAATAGTAGTTCTTATTTTAATGTATTCTTTGAACTAAGAAAGTTTTGAAACGACAATTGTTATACCTCATCGAAAGTATTCACTTCAACGAAAATATTCACTATTCACTAAACTGAAGTCATCATTTACATTCATATTCTATAGACTATACAATTTTTTTTATTATTCAACTGAAACAGCAACAAAATATGAAACACAAATGTATTTGATTGAAAGTAGGTGCCCGAAATGACGGTTATCCTATTGAAAGATTGCTCAACATTTAATGATATTTGAGACGTCATTCTTCAGTAAATAGACTTTTTTCTCCTTTACATTTTCTATCCTTCAAGTATCTCAATAGAAAAAAATCGAGAGAAGTCAAATCTGGTGATCCAGCTGGCCAATTTTGTAGTTCTTCTCTACCAGTCCATCTATTCGGAAAGCACATATTCAAAAACTGTCTGACACTGAATTTAAAACATGCCGGAGCTCCATTCAATCGTAACCACATTCGTTGTCTGACATTTATCGGCACATTCTCCAAAAGCTCAGGCAGATTATCTCGTGAAAATTGTAATAGAAAAAGTATCCATCAAAAAAGTATGGTCCTATAATTTGTGTACTTATGATTCCTTCCCAACGTAAACATAACATCTATTCTAGGATTCACATCACTATAATAATGGAAGGAATGTTTGTTCACTAAGGCATTATAAAAAAGTGACAATGATTTTGAATATTTTCTTCAATATTGAGAAACAGGTTTTATCGAAATCAGTAGCTCGAAACCTTCATGCTTGGTCAGAATTTGAAGGGATGATTTTCATAAATGTCGATGTTATACTCAAGAATGGTTATAGTTAGGTACATAGTACCTCATATGAAATCATATTAGCTGACCTATTCAAAAGTGTAACGACATACAGATTGTTCCATTTGAAAAAACACAACTTCGATATGTCACACTGTTTTGAGCCTTCCTGTAGACTACAAATTAATGCCCTTCTGCCTTAATCAATACTCATATAATTAAATGGAGAAATTCCCGAAAAAATTATTGGTTTGGTTTACAGGGACCGTGTNTCGCAATTGTATATTCTGTTTGGCGTCAGATTATATTTGTCATATACTTCCCCAAGCAAGGAATAGAACTTATCCACAGCCACTTTGTTGAACTCCGATGTAGCTTCTGGTTTTCGGATGGATAAATCCGGGTGACGCTTCAAAAATCCTTTCATCCAATCTACGCCAGCTATCTCTTTATCGCGGTTAAAATTATGTGCCTTGCCATTTTTTTCCGCCAACTGATACGCTAGTTTTCGTAGAACGACGGTGGTCAAACCAAACAAACGTTTTTCCATTTCTTTAATAATCCTCACGAGCTCATCTTCCTTTTGTTTCGAAGATACTGGCTTAAAATTACCTGGAGTTGAGTTAAGAGAGAGCTCATCCTTCCTTATTTTGCCCACGTGACGCTCCAAAGTGGTATGTGGAACACCGTATAGCTGGGCTGCTTTTCTGTTGTCTGCTGATTTGCTTAAAACGGCATCGACTGCCTGTTTCATGCTTTCTGTAGACCAACTGCCTCTCGAGCTTTTCTTTTTATACGTTCTCACCATTTTTGAGCCTAAAACAAGATAAGACCTATGATCAAATGAACAAAGCATTTTTTTAAGATTGAAGGGGCATAATGGGGACAGCAGTTAAGGGGCATAATGTGGCACCCCATCTTGCCCCGTAACCATGTCCCCGTTATGACCCTATAACTAACATTGCTTTAATTACAGATTTAAAAAAAACTGTCAATAGCTACAGTGATTTTCTTCAAAACATAACAACACACAAAATCGCTACAAAACACACTACAAAAATGCACAGTGATCAACTAAACACTTACCTGGTTACGTTTATTTTTGTAAGAACACCAAATTAGATGAAAACACGTCGAAAAATGTTTTTTGTCTCGTGCGTCACTCGCGGACTGAACGCTGATGCAAAATGGTCGCCTGTTAGTGAAAACAAAACGCGGCATGGGGTTAGCGGTTACTTGTATGTGTGGGTGGCCCCATCGTGCCTCGCGTCCCCGTTATGCCCCCCCTTCCCCTATGGGGTGTCCCTCTTTGTATAATGGTAAACCGAAATATATATTAACTTGTTTGAAATGTTGAGTGAAAATGTAATGCAAGCAACATTCGTGATTCGAATGACTCAAAATCTTTCACGAATCAGTATCAATTATGTGTGTGTCGTGAAACTGCGTGAAAATGGTTTGAAGAAATGTTAAAAAGATACAGTCACATCATACATTCGTATCGAAAGCAAATTTCAATGACTTCCCAGAATCCAATCTGAAAATTGCTGAACTCATTTTTTTTTCTGAGACTTTGTGACTGGTCAAGGTCAGGCTAAAACGCATCCGAATCGGTGAAAATGCATAATATGACATCAGCCTTTTGTTACACATTTTTGAGCCTCCGAAATAATTTCTTTCTGCGGCCTCAATAAATATACATAAATGGTTTGGTTCACAGTGGCCGTGTCGTTTGGGGTGCCCCACCCTGTATATTTTTTTTTATAATAACAATCTTTTATTTTCTTCGTTTTTGGTACAGTATCTACTATGAAGAAGATACATCGTAAACACAAACGAAGCACAGAACGTACCTAAGCATTGAAAACTTGTGTCGTAGTATACCACTCTCCCATTTGGGTATCTTGATTTACTTTTTAAACAGCATGAGTTTTGAAAAACATAAATGATAAAATTGAGTAGATGAATTAAAAATTTATCACAGAAATTATTTAATATTAGTTGGGTTGGTTAGGATAATGGCAGAGAGAAAATGAGATAGAATAAGTAATAAGTCATGAGTAATAAAGTGATAGAGGAGTGTATATCAGATGAAAATGAAATGCAGTGTATTGTTTTCCAGAATAAAACTTTCAATGCTTCATTTGTAATTCGCAATTTTTGTTATATGGTCAACTTTTAGAGGTGATATATTGTATATATAATGAAATCTTAATCTTTGCGTATAACTCTTTCTGAATTTGGGTATTCTGATGAATTTTTTACATCCACTGAAGACATTGATGGAAATATATTGGATGATACGTTTCAGGAACAAGCACATGAACAGCAAAAAAAGTGAGTTATTCACTGATTCTCGTTTGAAACATTCAATTTCATAAAAACATTTCGCGTCGCTTCCATATGGAGATGAAATACCAAATAAGTACCTACTACTAAGAAGCTTTCAAAACCAAAATGAAGAAGCTCATATTGTCAGATGAAATTATTGTTAATCTTTGTCTATAATTTCAGAAAACCATTGAATACCTAGTTTATTTTAAAACTAATATTATCAATCACTATTATGATGTTATTCTGAAAATAATGTTGAGCTGATTATACCTGTAATATTAATTTTAAATAACTATCATATACTTACCTCATACCAATTTCTGTACCTATTTGCTTCTTATCTGAAATCAATATTTGCTGATCACTTGTCTTACTAATCTATGAATCTATAAACTGTATAAACTCTAGGCATATTTCCTGGATGCTCTTCACGAAGTGCAAAACACAAGCATTTTATGCTCAGTTTGTATTCTTACTGATCGATGAAATACAATAATAGTTAGATACATGTATGCGAATGCAAATGAATGATATAAGGACTGAATGTAATAACTCCTAACAAACATGTATTGTGTGATATTCTATTCAGATGAACAAGCTAATTTGAATTTCACTAGTTCAGACTTCCATTGTTTACTATATAAAATGATTTGAAATCCCTGAAACAACTAAAAAAGAAGAATTGACAATGAATAGCTGAAAATAACAATTATAATAAGCAAAATGAACCTGAAATGAAATAATAGTGAAATAAAATACAAGTAAATTAGAATAATTGAACAAAAATAAATAAAAATGAAGAAATGAAAAAAAATAAATAAAAATAAAAAGTGGAGAGTTGTATGCGAATGCAAATGAATGATATAAGGACTGAATGTAATAACGCCTAACAAACATGTATTGTGTGATATTCTATTCAGATGAATAAGCTAATTTGAAATTCACTAGTTCTGACTTCCATTTTCTACTATAGAAAATGATTTGAAATCCCTGAAACAACTAAAAAAGAAGAATTGACAATGAATAGCTGAAAATAACAATTATAATAAACAAAATGAACCTGAAATGAAATAATAGTGAAATAAAATACAAGTAAATTAGAATAATTGAACAAAAATAAATAAAAATGAAGAAATGAAAAAAAAATAAATAGAAAGAAAAAGTTGAGAGATTCCAAGTCACGTTAGTTCACGACGTTTCGATTGTTAGTATCTGCAATCGTCTTCGGGTGATGACTGGGACGTGATGACTGGGACGTGACAATCGAAAGGTCGTGACTTGGAATCTCTCAACTTTTTATTTTTATTTTCTTTTTTCATTTCTTTATTTTTATTCATTTTTGTTCAATTATTCCATTTTACTTGTATTTTATTTCACTATTATTTCATTTCAGGTTTATTTTGCTCAATATAATTGTTATTTTCAGCTATTCATTATTAATTCTTCTTTTTCAGTTGTTACAAGGATTTAAAATCATTTTATATAGTAGACAATGGAAGTCCGAACTAGTGGAATTCATCATGAAACATTGTCAATCACCTTCAAACAAGCTAATTTGAATTTGAACTATCATTATTACTTTTCAGATAACAGAACGGAAGAAACTTTGGTTCAGTTGCTGGTCAAACAACTGAGTTGTCAATCCTGCTCCTCCCAGATGTCCCCTCCGCTAATTCAGTGTTGTTATGGTCATCACGAATGTAGTAGATGTATTGAAAGATCTGAAGAATGCTACACTTGCAATACAATCAGAATAGCTAAGAGAGATCATTTTTTGGAAAAACTGTGTTTCAACACAATATTGAAATGTTCCTTCGCCACTGAAGGTTGTAATTTCTCAGACAAGGCATTGCAGGTTGCAGCACATGAATTTGTTTGCACATTCAAAGTCAAACAATCCATTGCAAATGGTGCATATAACACAGTAGGAGGTGTTGTAGATCAGCCTTCTGAGTTAGAAGACGGGGATCATTCGAGAACTGTTGAAGAGGGTCCTAGCAAACCGAAGGCTGGAGGTGGGAAAAGTGAGTTATTCAATTTTTTGAAAAAATTCTATCAGTGTTTCCATTTCAACACATAGGCTGAAAAGTCCTGGGCCTACGTAGGGGTCAGCAAGACAAGAATTCTTGTCTCGATAACAACTTCTAGTCTTGTCTTGAGAAAAAATCAAGAAATTTGAAAAAATCCCATCTTGACGTTTTCTTGACGTCTTATATCTTCAAAATCTTGAAATTTTTTGATTACCCGGTCTAGTGATTCCCGAACGCAAAATTTATGTGCAGTTGCATGCTGTATTCCATTTAGTCAAGTAGGTAGGTAGGTAGGTCTAAAGTGAGTGGGTCTATTCGACCCTCCACCGCAACCCACAAGGGTTTATTGTGGCTCACACCTAGTCACACTCAGCCAAATAAACCCAGCTTCTTAACGAAGCCGAATAGTTTGTATGGTGAGTGGTGTTTCAGGTTAGATGGTGAGAGTACGGATCTGCCGAACTCAAAAAACCTGACTCGGTCCCCAGCGGGGTAGGCACAAAGTATATGCTCTATTGTTTCATCATTTTTTCAGACAGAGGCGACACACACTGTCTTCCGACAGTCCAAGTCTCTGCATGTGATGATTCAAATGACAGTGACCTGTAAGAAGGCCTGTTAGACATCGTAGTTCATCCCTACTGTAGTCCAACAACTG